GGGAGGGAGGTGGGGAGGTGGAGGTGGCAGATTTTCTTGCGGAAAACACTTCTAAATAGATATTGTCCTGAGTCTGCTTAAATGAAATTGTTATTGCATTTTGTTCCCATGAGAACAGTGGCGTAAAAAAGTGTTACCGGTCTTCTCTATATTTCCGTATTCTAGATGCCATATGCATGGCTTCTAGCTACAGTTGATGCATCATTGCTAACTCGTGAGAACAAATTTGTGTGCACTCTTAGTTCAGAGGGAGGCATGAGTATGCTTTGGTTCCCTTAGGTTCTCCCAATAAATAATAGTAGAAAGTTATCTGCAGGTGTTTGGCGAAACTGGTAACGTTTGTGCCAAGTGACCAGGAGGTCACGGGTTCGAGCCGTGGAAACAGGCTTTTGCAGAAATGCAGGGTAAGGTTGCGTACAATAGACCCTTGTGGTCCGCTCCCTTCAGTGCCTATAGAACCATGATTAATAAATATTACTTTTGGGGAGTTAAGAAAATGATACATAGCAGCTCAGCCTACCACACTTAAAGCCCTTTGTACAATCAGCTTGGGATTTTGGTAGAGAGATCCTTTCCATAATATTGGAATGACTAAGGCTTCTTGAACAGTCTTGTTTAGATAATTGCTTATCTCAGGTTATGGAAAAATATTTTTTGGGTCCAAAATCTCTTTTCCTATAGGCGACCTATTTTGTCTCATGCATGTATCAATTGAGAGAGTATCGGAAGTTTCAATGTCTACCATTATTTCCCTTTATTTTACTGTGGGGGTCTTTGGTCTCAACAAATGGCATTAAAACGCTCGGTTGTATTATCCCTATCGATATATTGCACGTCCCTACAAGTGGTACCAGGACTAGGGAATAGTTTGGTTCCGTGTAAGCATGGGCACCATTCACAGGAATAATACAAATTATCCTCATAATACTATTCATACATACGAGTTTTATATGTAGAGGAACTGTTCACATTCCATACATGAACGCTATCAACATTAAATGTCCTAAAACTCATAGAAGGAAATTAGACCCGTTATACTTGTATGACCAGTATAGATGTCTTTTGGACAAATGAGAACTATTCGATGAATACTAGTGCAGGGCGTGCGTAGCTGTGCTGCATCATCAGAGGAGGATGTGAAACTAGTTTTGTCGGGGGAATTACCATTTGGTAACTGGAGAAAGGCATTTTACTATAAAGTGGGGACTAAGGCATCGTGTAGCAGATACCAGAGGATACTGAATATAGAGCACCATTCATGGGGAGCTCAAGTAAAATAGAGAGGCATGGTTTTAAAGTGCCAAGACACAACTTATGAGGAGGTTTGTTTGTGGAGGAACGACTTCCAGAAGACAGTAGGGAATGCCACCGGAGCTTGCCTAGAAACACCGCTCTGGAGAAGCTTGGGCGGGAATGTTCGACTTGTTTAACGCAATTGCAGAGAAATTTATCGATGGAAAAAAAAACATGCTTACATCCTCTCTGTAACTACATAGGATGAGATCTCATTGCTTTTTTGATCATTAAATCTCCTGGGCGGGAATGTTCGACTTGTAATCTCATTGCTAGTTGCTAGATAAACATAGAAAATGTGGCGGTCTGGCCATTCTGTCACAGACGTCTACTCTTTACAAGTGATTTCTCAACTTAACCGTCATGTTAATAGGAGTGGCAAACGGGCGGGTCGGGTCGGATATGGTTCGGGTGAAAAACGGGTAATGAAGAACGGATAAATTATCCGACCCGACCCATATTTAATACGGATAAAAAACGGGTTAACCGGCGGATAATATGGGTAACTATATTATCCATGATTTCTTGAATATGATCACTTTTGGGAGAATTCCTAATCTCCCAAACTTGAGGAACCCCCAATTTGAGGCTTTGCAAATGTAAAAGTTAAACCTATTAGTTATCCATTGGTTACCCATTGGTTATCCATTGGTTACCCATTGGTTATCCATTTTCTAAATGGATAATATGGTTCTTATCCATATTTGATCCGTTTTAAAAAAGTTTATTATCCAACCCATTTTTTAGTGGATAATATGGGTGGTTAACTGTTTTCTTTTAACCATTTTGCCACCACTTCATGTAAGACCAACAACAACACTTAACCTTCATGTAAGACCTTTATAGAACTCGTCCCAAATCTTTCGATAATTCTGCGTTTTATAGAAATTAAAGCAATAGTCTAACAGGATAAAAAGAAAAATATTTTGGGGCTATGAATTAACTCACTCTCCGAATAGCCTAACATGCATCCAAATATTTCCGAATGTTTCCACACCTTTCAATGCCATCTCTCATCTGTGTCTAGTCCATCAACAATATCATCATGTTGTTTACTTATCAAAACAAAATTATGTTATTAACAACCCCTCCAACGACCAGAAAAAAAAACAATATCATCAACAAATAAAAGAAAATTATCATCATTTTAATTCCGAAGAGAGTCATTTTCGAACACTGTTTTGATCTATTAATAGTTTTGATGGTGGGCCTTTATCTCTATATAATTCTCATACGTAAAGCAATTTGGAATCTCCTTTTCAAATCAATTTGGAGGCAACCTCTTGTTCAATTTATTAGGAGATAGATAAAGCTATTCATTGGATGCTTGATTGATAATATTTCTAGCTTGTGTACCTCTGGAATTGATCTTTGACTGATTTGATATCTCTAGTTTCGTACTCCACTATGATGGAAAGAAGACGCTTGGGTTTCGGTGGCTAGACGTGTGAGTTTTTGAATCTTGGTGGCATCTTTTGCACATGAGTTAAAAAAGCTTCACTAGTAAGATGATGAAAACCCTAAAACATTGTAAGCAGTGAGACTTCTCTAGCTTCAACAGTAATCTTGCTCCAACCACCGATTAGATCTGTAGATCCTTAGAGCATGTCTCTTTACTATATAATTTTAATCTTGTTAAATTGAATGTACAAATCTTTTTGGAATATAATAGAACCACTGACAATGCATATTGTCACTTTGCTTCATAATTGTTCTATTACTTTTTCTATTTTAGGCATCAACTGATGTAGATAGTTCAGAAATGGAACATGCTAGCCAGATTAAAGCTGAGAACGGTGACGTCGAGCCAGCAAGTGGTCTTAAAGGAAATGTTGAAGAGCTGGATTTTGCTTCATCACTACAACTAGAAGAAGGTGGTAAACTGAAGGAGTCCAAAACATTAGATACTTCTGAAGAGTCAATCATCGATGAATCTGATAGAGTTAGAAAGAGGGGCATTCCTCCACCTGGACTCGGTCAGAAGATTTACGAAATAGACCCCCTTTTGACAAACCATCGTCAACACCTTGATTACAGGTAAAAATGTTTTCATTCGTTGAGTAATTTGCCTATTTTAGAGGCAGAATTCGATGATTGGGAGATGATATTATATCGTCTATAGGCTGTTATACTTTTTCCTGTGATGATCTGGTTGATGATGTTTAGGTTTTATTATAGACTTCAATATGCTGCTGCTTACCAGTCCCTATTGTGTACATATATATGAAATCTTTCTGAACATTCTTCAGCAACTTATTTGCAAATTATCTGCCATGACGTAGGATCTGTGGATTCATCTTTGAGGGTAATATGGCCCTGTTATGCATCTTGTCAAAACTTTAATTTCTTCCATTGCCTAGATTGGCATCTATACAAGTGAACAAATCAGCCCAATGATTCCTTGTATTTTCCCATAGGCAGACCCCATAAGATGAGCACTCACTGGTTGAAACACCACAGAGTTGACCAACCATACTTTTGCTAATCACTACTCCCACATTCCTTCTTGTTGAGACTTGAGAAGTTTACCTCCATAGCCATTTGTATACCATTTGTATAAGAGCTTCAGTCATACTTTTTCAGGTTTCTTACTCCTAGACCACCGGCCTCCTTTCACTTCTGCACTTAGCCCACCTAAGCAGGTGGTACATTTTGGTTTCTGCATTTCTTTCCCATAGGAATGCCTTCTGAGCTTTGTCACACGTTTAGGACTCAGGAAGGTAGTGGTGTACTGGTGTTGTTGGAAGAAGACTATCTAGGACTCAATTAATAAATACTAGTCTGCCACGCATTGAAAGATAGTGCCTCTTCCAGTTTGACAGTCTCCTCTCCACCTTCTCTAACTCCATTCCCCTGCCGTGTCTTTATATTTGGCCTTGAGAGAACTCCCTGGTAAATGGCGGGTAGTTCCCCAATTCTGCATTTGATCAGGTCAGCCGGTGAGTGTATGCTGTGAACTTTATTGACTGGGAAGAGGAAATTTTAGTTCATTGTTGATCCTTAGGCCAGGAACTGCCTCAAAGGCATCACGAATGACTCTTAGGTGCATTGGTTGCCTCTCCTCAGCATCACAGAGCATGACAGTATTATCAGCATAAATATGGGGGTAATGGAGACAATTTGAAGGTTTACTGGCTCCCCATTAAATCCCTTAATCCATCCCGTCTACAGCCACTTTCAGCATATTTCTAAGTGCCTTAATCTTTTGGCCATGGACAAAACGGGAGATAGGTGACCACCACTTGCGTGAACAAAGAGGGAGATGATCGCCTTGTCCAAGTCTCCTTGGGAGGGGAAGAAGCCTTCCAGGGAACCATTGACCAGTTAAGATGCACAATTTGGTCCATCTAACCCATTTTTTATGCTTGGTTTAGGCATTACCGGCCACTGTTTTTTTTTATACCCATTATAAAGAATTGTTTGAAACAGAAGTTTTTTTTTTCCAATCTGAATGCTCTTAGTATTTTCTGTTTTGTTATTGTCATCGATGTTTGTTTTCAATTGCCGTGGTCCTATGTTGGGTTTTGTTTTTTCTTCTGCCTATGTTTGATTATTTGCTTTGTACATTCTTCGTTTTTGTCTCCCAAGTTTAATTCTTAAAGGACGCAATAGGTCCATAGCACAGCAACATGCTAGTTTAATTTCTAGTAGCAGTCTACCATGCTCTGTATTGGTTGGATTGTTCGTCAGCAGTTCTGTTTTATTCTTCAACTTTCCAATTTTACTAACTCTGAAAGCTGATTGCTCACATGTACTTCCAGAATTTTTGTTCTTTCTCTATGAATTGTTCTCTTTGTTGGATGTTCTTGCTCTCGAGACATTACTTGCCTTTGGTTATGTAATTATGGTTTTGCTCTTGGTGTATCTATATGCCTCAGCATTTATCTGCTTCATTCTGCCCCAAGTGGCAGTGCTATCTTTCTCTGCAGTTCCTGCGCCTGGACATGTCCATCTAAAATCTAAAGAGTGTTTTTCTATGCTATCCATTTTTAGGTTTTCAGAGTACAAGAAAATGAGGGAGGCAATTGACAAATATGAGGGTGGTTTGGAAGCTTTTTCTCGTGGTTACGAAAAAATGGGTTTCACTCGTAGGTAATAACTGCTTTCTATCTTATTTAATTTTCTTTCTGAAGGTATTCGAGACCGGCCTTGTGCATAACCTTGTCAATTTCATGCCATAATGTTATTCGTTGACGCCCACTTGGTACTTCTTTGACCCACACTCAAACCTATAGAGGAGTGAAATGGTGAT